CCAGAAAGCTTTTTTTAAATGAATTTTTTTAAGAAACTGCATACATCAGAGACAAACAATAATTTAAATACCATGCAGTTTCAGTATGTACAAAAACTAGGACATAGAGATCAGTTTAATTTTTTCTAGTTATTTACATCATTTTCATACAGCCATAATCTGTTAAATTACAATACTGGAAGATCACGATTGACAGCCACCACACTCACTCCTATACAAAGACAATCTATATACATACACTTGGATATCAACTGGAAAATGCAACTGGTGCAGGAGTAACTGGGACACACAGGAACACAGGGTATGTGCCCGTCACCTCCTCTTTGTTTACAGAAATTTTCCAAGCTCGAGCAGACTGAACACCTGGGAAAAATAATTTGTCCCCTTTTTCTTTCCTGATTTTTTTATTAGCCTAGTCATCTCCCATGGCTATTTATACAAAGTTATTTTATTTGCAGGCACGTTAGGGAGCCCCCATTCATGTATAACTTTGGGTTTCCACCTTGCCCATCTATTTGTATGAGTGCAAGCTTCACTAGACATGTTGGAAGTGCTCCCCCCTCTCTTGGTTTATAGTGTTTGCACTGCACAGGTGGTGCTGTAGAAATAAGGAAGGGTGAGCTTGGTGAGTAGTTGCAGTGATGACAACGCAGTGGTTACACATGTATTAGGATGAGACATTTGTGTAATGGCCTCACTAAATGGTTTCAGGTAACATAAAATAGCTAAAAGTCTATTATGTTCTTTTCCCTGCCTCTTCTTTCTCTTCTGATAATGCCCAGTGTGTTCACTAGGAATTGGCTAGACCCAAAAGTTGGCCTAACCCCTTCCCAGCAAAGCTGCAGCCTGAAGCTTCTTCAGCCTGCAAGTACCCAGCCAGTGGGGTGGAGGGTGGGCAAAAGCCACAATGCCCACATTCCCTCTGAGTCAGAATGGTGTCACCAGGTCCCTGCAACCCTCTGTTGGTGAAGTTGTGCCACTATTGGGCTTCCTCACCATCACTTTTCCCAAACAATCAAAACCTTTTTGTCTAGACGTTTTGGAACTGCTTTTTCAATCCCCACCACCTCCCTAGCCACCCCTTTGTCCCCATTTCTACTTCATTATTCCACAGGCTGCTGAATACAGCAGATGTCAAAATACTTGCACACTTTAAGTATTCAGAATTTGCTAGATACAACAAAAATGCTTCTATTCCTTGATTATTACCTCTGGAGATGGATTACCTCTGGAATAGTCATTTTTGTTCTGTGTTGACTTTTCCATTCTCTAAACCCGGTGTAATTTCTTTATTACCACTATTAATCTCCTTCCAATCAGAACGAGGATGACTCTGCTAATGCAGTGTTAGCAGGAATGCCGTCATTATGTCCTACACATAATCCGGGTCAAAGGAGAAAAATCATGACTGTTTGTTGTTTGGTTTTTTCCCTTTACTGCCAACAGAATCACAGCTCCTTTGCCATGATAGAGATGGCTTTCACAGATCAGAAAACAATTCTCAAGAAACCACATTTATAAAAAAAGGGACCAGCAGTTCCCCAGTCTGTGTGCAACTTTCCAGGGATGCCAGAGGTGGGCATGCACACTGAGGATGCAGTGCTGTGTTCAGGCCCTGACAGGAACGTTCCTGCTGTGGAATGCCTTGACAAAGGTTAACTTTGCAAACTACCCAGACCCACTGAAGCTAAAAGCAGATGAAGTGTCAGTTTGGTGATACTGCAGTGCCAAACACCTTGTATGGCTTCTTTTTCCTCCCCTTCCCCCTTTTCAGGAATAAGCTCTATTTCCGTCTGGGGAGAAATATGGCAATTCTTCCACTTCTGTCTGGTGTCTGCTCAGCTAGGAGTTAAGTAAAAAAACCCAAAATAAATAAGAAAAAAACCCAAAAAACCATGGCTGCATGGAGCTGTCTGGGGACAGCACAAAATCATGGGGCAAGGCTGAGTGTGGGAACTTGCTGAATGGTCAGAAGGGACCTGCCATGGGCTCACCGGGATGAAGGTGCTGGAGAATTTTTGGCCATCAGCCAGGACTTGGCTGTTATGTATCTCAGACAGTACTCAAGGGTTTATTTTGGGTGTCAGACTGGCAGTGTGGGCACTGCTTGGGGCTGTGCCCGCGAGGGACAGTGGCAGTGTCCAGAGTGAACATTCCCCTGGGAACTCCAGCACTAACAATGGACAGACAGCAGCAGCCTGCGACTTCCACCTCCCTCCTCTTAAATTTGTTAATAAAAATTAAACAAACCCTCACCTTTCCCTCCCACTAGCCTACCAAGTCCTGTGATTCCTGTCACCACTGCTCCTTAAACAGCGTCCCTTCCATTTCACAGTGATCCTCTACGCTAGAGATGCCAGGGCAGGTGTGAGATCCATGCTGGGAACACAAGGATTTATAGTTCAAAACAGCTCTGTTCCAGAGCTCTTTGCTAAAACAGTGCAGTCTGTGCAGTTAAAAGCATAAAGGCTTTCTTTCCTTGTTTTAGAGCTCTGATACAGTCTCGTACCTGGTGTGCATACGAATATGAATGAATTTATAAACACAAACTGAGGTTTTCATGTTTCACTACATACATCAGTAGTGAAGGCTTTCACTACTGATGAACTTCTATCTTAAGCAAGTGCAAACTGGTGATACAGGGATCATGGTGTGTTTCCTCAGGAATCATTACCCAGTCTGGGAAGCACCAGAAAGCACCTGGTTTTTACTCTCCTTTGATGTTCCATCCTACAACAGCCAATGCTCATTTAAGAACTAATAATCCACAGCATTGCGAGGATGTGAATATGAATGAATTTATAAACACGAACTGAGGTTTTCATGACAATAACCCCAAAGCAGTGCATTCCTGGCTGGTAGTGCTCTGCCTCTGCTGCACTGAGCTGATAACACTGCACATTGAAGGCTTTCACTACTGATGAACTTCTATCTTAAGCAAGTGCAAACTGGTGATACAGGGATCATGGTGTGTTTCCTCAGGAATCATTACCCAGTCTGGGAAGCACCAGAAAGCACCTGGTTTTTACTCTCCTTTGATGTTCCATCCTACAACAGCCAATGCTCATTTAATAACTAATAATCCACAGCATTGCGAGGATGGCCACGGATGAGAATGAAAAGCTTTTGCTTCTCTCTGCTGGAGGCCCAATCTGCGAGGCACTGAGTGCCACCACCAAGCACAGATGCAGGGCGTCACCCTCGCTGTCGGGGTTTTTGGGGTGGGCTGGGTGCTAGAGCCACTCCATGGGCTACGTGCAGGTCCTTTGGCCGTACTCCTGCATCCAGAGGAGTGAGGTGAGGCCTGAGAAGAGGCAGGAGTGTTGGCACTACACTGCACTGCACTTGAGCATTAAATGCTCAAGTGTGAGAGGCGTCTCAGCCTGCAATCAGTGAAGGGCAATGTAAGCATGGAACAGGGGGAGCTGGACAGAGAGCACAGAAGAGAGGATAGATACATGGAAGACAGTGAGAAAGGAAAAATTAGTAAAAGAATAACAGAAATAACTATTCTGTAGTAAAAAAACTTTGGCCTCTCCGTTTAAACTGTCAAAGGACAATAGCTATTGTGGAAGAAAAGGTGTCCTGGAATAATTATCTGGAACTTCTTACAGTCATGTTGCTGCAGTGCTTTCAGACACTGTCCCAAAACATGGCATAGTAGCATCCTGTAAGAACTTGAAAGGAATCCTGACAATGTCTGCCCCAGCTTGCTGGCATTATGCTAGTTAAGGACTTAATTCTGGAAGGTGATGGCCTAAGTTCAGAAAAGCACTTTATTGTGTTCAGGTTCAATTAAGCCTCTTAGACATATTCTTGAAAGCAGAGAGGCTGTGTGTGCTTCCTTGCTGTAGAGCACACACTTAAGTTGGCAAGTAAACCAGGCCCAGAGTGACCAGCTCTCTGAGCTCTGCTTGGTCAGTTTGTGTGTTAAACCACTATAACAAAAATAAGTTAGAACCAGTAAATTCAGAGCACCTCTGAATTGCTGTCCTTATGCCTCAGCTGTGGGTAGCAGTGACAAGTCCCACCATCCATAAGAATGCCCCAGACTCCTTTTGGTAGGCCAGGTAACACACCTTGTCGTGCTTTGCTCAGTGTGAGTTTAGGATCACTTCTTGAGACACCTGGTAGAGAGACAATAGATATCCTCCATGGAACCTCCCGCCCCTCCTGTTGCGTGTCCCTCTGCAGAGCCGGAGGGGAATCCCAGCCTTTCCTGCTGCCGGGGGCACGTTGGCTCTCACACAGTCACAAGGTTTGGGTGTAAGACAAACTACAAGCGGAGCAGATGCCATGCAGTGACTATGAAGAGATGGGCTTTTGCTTGTGGGTTCTCAGCGTTCTTGTCACTTACTGCTAATGGGCTCACAACCCGGGTTTAGAAAATTGTACTTGAAAGAGATGGAAAACAAACAGTTGCTAGAAGTGAAGCAGCCTTCAGTAGGGAGTCCTGTTCTTCAGAGGATTTTTCTGCTTGGAAGCTGAATTATGTCTACTGACTGGCTGTGAACTTCTCCAGGGAAAGAAATGCCTCTCTAGTCAGATGATATTCACAGATGGGCCAGCCCATGGAGAGTTTCGCTCCTTCACCATCCTCATAAGGTGCTCTCAGCTTGAAAGGGGTGTTTGGTGTAAGTGCTTTAGTGCCATAGGGACTCATCTTTTGGAGACTTCACCCAGGCCAAGTGATTCCCTGAACATCGTCTCAGGGCTCTCTAGGGTTGATGACAGAGGCTTGTCAGGATGAGGGGTGCCTGAAGACAACAATGGTTGCACCACCAGCTGGGCTTGAACACATATGGCAAATCCACATGCCGGGAAAGTCCTATACACAGACGCCAAGTCTTGGCACGATTTCCCACCAGGGGTATTTTCTGTTACTGAAGCTTGAACCAGCAGGTCTGATGATGCTGCAGTACTCATCACATGTAAATACAATTCTCCTTTTTTTTTTAATATTTATTTTTCTACTTTTTTTTTTTCTTTTTTTTTTTTAAAAAGGCAGTTCGGAAGATTTACATTGTACGTAACAGGGAAGTGAATAATACCAGCACTTATGGTTCCTTTTAGTTATGTTTTGAAGATGGCATAGTAGTCAGGTAGAATTGATCTGCTACGGTCTATGAAACCTAATACCCAAGGGGAAAAAAAAAAAAAAAGAGAAACAGTAAGATAATATCCTCACATGTATATTGCACATAAAAAAATTAGGAGAACTAATTGTAACAGTGACACCATTAGGCAGTTCAATTCCTGCAGCATTGACATCAGCCATGCTAGCAAGAGGACCCCAAACAGACAGACACTCACACTTCCTTGGCCCTTGCCAGACTCACAGTTCATAGTCATAAGCTGTTTGCACCAAAATCTACCAGAGACATTCATACACTTCGGGTCCACCCTATGGAATCCCTGAGTGGACAATAGCAGATCAGCTCACCCTCTTCCAGGCCATACAAGGCCTGACTCCACAAAAATTGTGCGGTTTAGGCAAACCTTATACTATTCTGTCAGAAAGATTTACATACAGTTTAACCATGATTATTCCTTAATGTTGGAGGCTAAAGAGACAAATGGAGCTAAAATGGCCACCCTTCCTACAAGGCACCTTGTGTCGGAAGACCTTGGTTTGTCAGATCTGCAAATACACATTTTTTAAGCTTTGATTTTTTACTCTATTATGAATTAATTAATGTGTCCCACTAGTAAAGTGACACATTCTTTGCTCTTGCCACTGCTTAATGACATGAAAAGCTCATTACCTTGCTAATGACTTTAGAATGGTGATTTATTTAAGTTTATTTAAGGGAAATACTCTCTTTTGTTTAAGCATGCTTCCTTCAAGTGCGTTTTCCCAAAGCCACTTGTGGAACCAGCAAATCCTGCTGTTCTTCAGCAAAGCTTATTCCAGTGTCTGTTATATGAGCTGTGGCTCTCAGCCTGGCCCAGAATTACTGAGTCCAAACTGCTCAGTGGTTTTCGGGTAGAAATTTTAAAGGGTCACTGCTTACTCCAACACTGGAAGAGAAGGATAATACTGTGCAGAAATCTGTGAAAGCCAAGCAGCCAGACAGACTTCTGGAAAACTAAACCAGTCTGTGTGTTATGGGATGCTAAAGGCCTCATGGAATTCAACGGAGCTCTCAATGGAGCTTGACTACTTGCAGCAACACCCCCTTTAAAACAGCTTTGTCCTTTCTACATTTGTCACCTTGCCCTGGAGGAGCCAAATGTCCCTCAAAGGCTCAGTCACTGGGGTCAACAGATCTTGGTCAACTGTACATGCTACGGCTTCTCCCAGACCTTGTGGCTCAGGAGCAGCTGGCTTGTCTCTAGCATCACTCCATCACTACAAACCCCAGTGCAACCAGCCTAGCACATGCTAGGATGGAGAAGGGAGATCGTTTCTGCAAGGTAATGTATGCATAATACATGCGGCGAATTTTAATATAATTATTAATTTATACACATAAAAATCTTCTAATACAAAATTTATTTTGCCTTAAGCTTTTCTGTATTTTTCCTAAAAGGACCGCCTGCATTTTTCATGAGCGTGGAACTGATGAACACATTAATACAAGGGCAGCTCCAGTTTCGCACCAGATCTCACTGTCACTTGTCTTCAGTACCCAACACTTGTTTTTAAAGTCTGAAGTGTTGATTTACAAAGACCTAACTTCAGCCCTAACCCATCAGAGAGGACAGTGGCTGGTTTGGGTTCATGGATAATTCATTCAGTCTCTACTTTTAAAACTAAAAAGAAGCCCAAGGTGTAAATAATAGTGCCTCTCTTACAGCCTGGATCTTGCCATGCATCATGCGTGGCCAGGTGTGGAGCACAAGAAGAGAGATCTGTGGGTGGGACTGCGTGGTGTGGAACAGCTGCACACACAGCAGGGCTCAGTGTACACTCACTCAGACTTTGCTACGTGCTCTACAAGGGTTCCCTGTCCTCCTTCTGACACCAACTCCTTTTTAAAACTTTTAATCTCAGAAGAACGGATATGCAGCACGATGATTTAAAAAAACCCCCCAGGTTATACTTCATTAAATGGCACGTGCCTGCATAACTCCACATAATGGGGCAGCACGTGTTTGTCTGTGTGAGTTGCTTTTACAGCCTGTAATTCTAAATGTTGTCTAGACCTCATGGTGTGTTCACTGCATGTTGGAGAAACAGCTGCCAGCTTTGATTTTCTTTTGAAAACAACAGTATTCATTTATAGTCTTAAAAAATTAATCTCTCAGCTTACCTTGTTAGATGCCTACTTAATTCATGAACTTCCATTTCAGAGCTTTTAAATTCATTAAGCTCTTTTCGAATGGCTGCCTGCAAAGGACAAAGAAACTCATAAATGTATAAATGAGAGAGATCAAAATAAGGTCACTTTGTTCTCAAAACAGTATATTAAAAGTAAAGCAGAGAGATAACATTATCAGAGAGACAAAGACAAACACAAAGACTTTAAAATGTGAAAAGGAACAGAGATAAGCATGTTCTAAATCACATAAAGGGAAGAGAGAAATGCTTTGGTGGAATGGCTCAATTTGAAAACATATCACAGACAATGCAGGTACAGAACCCACTTCTGGCTTATTATGTAAACATTTACATGTACAAAATCCAAATTAGCACAAGCATGAGAAAAAAAAAAAATCACTGCAGTTTGTGCAACACTGTGATCTGTTCCAGAGCTGAACTGTGACTAGACCCAACCCAGATCCTGACAGACTTGTGTTTGAGATGTCTTCTGCCCTTATTGGTCCTGAATTTCCTCAGGTGTGGTTACCTAAAGTGACTGATCTTACTTGGGAAGGAAAGAGGCTCCCTGCCCTCTACTCTGCCTCAGTGTGCTGCTCTGCCCTGCTCCTCCCTTCTGACCAAGCTGTACTGTTTATTGAAGTGATTTGGCAGGAAACCTGCCATGGCGTGGTGGTGTTCAGCCTCTGTGGCTTGTCTGTAAGGGGAAAGAAAACCAGGGGGCACTGGCAGGAAGAGAAATACTGAAGAATAAAAAACCAGAGGGGGTGACTTGGAGGGACTCAGCTGCATGGTAGAGATGGTGCTCAGCAGAAATGGCTCAAGTCCCAAGCTCAGGGTCAAGAGCTCTGACAGCTCTGTGATATTTGTTGCTCAGAAGAGGTTTCACTGTGAGCATTTGGAGTGGATGCATGAGGTGTCTGCTGCAGCCAAACCGTCCCATAGGTCCGAGGTGTGTGCACTGCCTTTCTGTGTGATGTTGAAAACATTAGAATCAGAGGTGGAAAGGGGTGCTCCAGTAAGTGGTACTGGTGTCTGTCAGGAATTTTTCTCAGTGAAGGAAATCTAAACCATTATGAGTAGCACAAGCCCAAAACAGGACTTTTGCAACAGCCACTGCTGCAGTCAGCAACTACCTTTGCTTTGACAAACCCTAAGTGATGGATTTTGCAAGTGTTTTTGTACAGAAAAGGCCCTTTTTGCTCCTTCTCCACAGCTTTGGTTTCTTATTTCCCTTAGAAGTGCCTGTCAGGCGCTGCCTCATCCATCAGGACAGAGTGATGGCTATGCAGCAGCTCCTGGTCTGCCTTCAGCAGAGCAATCTGCCACTGAAGTGACTGTGCAGGAGGCCACAGGGGTGGTTGACTCCCACAGGGACTGAGATCTATTCCCCCCTCCATCCCTCATCTGTTGGAGAGACGCAAAAATGCCCTTTTCCTTCCCTGAGAGTCAGACCTGCTAAAGACAAACTCTGACTGAAGGCAGTTCCCTCCACCCAGCACACTGAGCAAGTTTTACTGGCAAACAGAAAAGCCCATTGCTAAAATCTGTTTTTGCAGTAAATCTAGTCAGTGCTGACCAATGAAGACAGCTACTGAATAACAGCTCTGGAAGAAAATAATCCTGTCTGGGATGATGTGGCTTTGTTTCAATTTCTCTGGCTGTTTTTTCCAACACTGGATATAGTGTTGAGGAAAAGCAGGTCACCTGAATGACAGAAATCAGAATACTGCGCACAGCACCCAAAAAATTCCAATCTATCTGCTTCCTTGTGCCCTAAAAGGCATTAATATTAGAATGACAAACACCTCTTCTTCTGCTGGTGCTTTACTGAGAAAATGTTAATTTGAAAGGCTTAACCCTTTTCTCTGACTACTGAACTTGCACATGCATTATAAAAAAAGAAAAAGTGACAAATACTCTGCCTCAGTACTAAACTCTTTACTAGGTTACATTTAATAGTGGTATTTAATGCTTGTTCTTTTCAGAGACATAGGATGAGAGATCAAGTCTCCATGCCCAGCTGAAGTTTCTCCATGCCTTTCATCCCAGACAGGGATCTCTCAAAGGCTGTAGAACCAGTTGGGAGATTTATTCCCTCCCTCATTTAATAATTAAGAGAATAAAGCTAAGTCAGTTGACTAATACATTGTCAAACATGCTTAGCTAAAGGAGAAAAGCTAATTTAACCCAGTACATTATGGACTATGGACAGTCCTGAGGAAGTTTATATTTTTTTTTTCAGATCAGTTTATGCTACATTAACTTCACCAAAGCTAAACTGAAAAAAATCCCTCTACAAGGAGAAGAACAATGTCACAAAACTATACAAGTCCTTTGGTTGAATTTTACAAGTATAATACATATTTTTTGTGAATAAAACCAAAAGCACCATAGATGAGTGGTGTGGCTGGAAACTCTGCTAAAGCTCTAAACATTGGACATCACGCTGAGTAAGTGAGTTCCATGGCAAAGAAGTAGTCAAGGCTTGAATCCAGGTATCTGAAAGTCTTTAAAATTAAAAGGGGATCATAGAGTGACTATAAGATTCATGACTGAATCACTGAGCCTCACAGTCCTCACTTCTTACAATGTTCATAAAATCTTTTAAATATTTTTTCTGAGGTCCCATTAAGACCCTCAGAATGTGACTGATATAATTTGCCAGCAACTTAATCCCTCTGCCATCAATGTCAACACCAGAGACACTATTTAGTGGAAGTTCCACCAGTGCTCAAAGGGTAGTGCCATCAATACCAAAGTGTACCTTTTTTCATCTGCAGGTCTTGTGTGATTTCAGTTCAGTGCTTAAAATACTCTGTGGCAGAAATCCTGAGCAAATATCCCTGTTGTAACACACTAGAGAGAAGTGACTCTGGTTTTGGAGGGATGGAAGTACCTTTGCCAAATTGACCTCCTGGCATTTTCACACCCAAGCCTTCCCTGTCCTGGCACAGCCATTCTGGCACACACTCCCGTCTCACTGCTCTGCTAAGTCTTGCTACAGCTCTCAGCTGGCAGCATCATGTGGTAAGACCAAAAGTGACAAAAAAATAACAGGGCTGTCATCAAGACCTTTCCTCAAGGGGCTTGGGATTCCTTCCCTCCTGGTTTCCATGCATACAGAAACCTTCTTGCCAAAGATTTATGCTCCAAACAAACAAATCAACCAACCTCGTGAATGGGAAAAAAAAAACCATAGGTGTATTGGAAAGGGATGTCAGGTAGATGTTTATTCCTTGACAGCCACGGGATCTGTGGGACCCAAGGGATGCTGTTTTCCATGCCATGCTCTGGCTGTTTAGGCCATGGCTCTCCCAGAGTTGCTCCACTTACTTTGTCGGCGGCTGTGAGTCGTGTCCAGGGTTTGTCCGCCCTCCTGTCGTAGTCCTGCGCGTCTGCCACTTCCACGTAGTCACTGAAGCGGATGAGGATCTTCCTCTCACGTAGCTCTTCTACTGTGGGCCTTTGACTCAGCTGCAGGTTTGAGGAAGGAATGGAAAAAGACATCAGGACTTTGCTTTTTCCCTGCGGAGAGCTGCTTGGGGATTTATTTTACTGCAACCGCTGTTACAGTAATAACAGGGTTTGGACATTCCCAGTGCTTTGTTTTTGTCTGCCTTTCAAAGAATTGCTACCTGGGAAATGCCCTCTTTTTATAAGACCTTGAATATAATCTCATCTTGCTGCCAGAGCAGCCCACTGTTCTTTGGGAAGCTGCTGTGGCTGGAGACCCCAATTCCCAGCTGAGGTTGATCACCCTTGGCAGAAATGAGATGTAAGGCAAGAAAGTTTCCTAGTGCACTGATGTCCCAGAAAGAGACAAAGATCACAACACTACTCTAAAATGACCTGCACAGGCTGTGCACTTTCCAGCCTTCTGCTGCTGTTGTCTGTACTTTTGCACTGTCTGGGAAGAGTCAGGCCAAGGCATGGAGTGGCTTCTGCCCTGAATTACATGCAAGAGGTGAAATCCAACTTTCTTTACCATTCTGATATTCTGCAGACCTGTCCTTACCTCCAGAAAAGGCAGGCAGAATGATTAGTGCTCATTTAACTTTTAACTGTATCTATTGAGAGCTGTGGTTTGTATCACAGCATATTTGATTATTAAAATCTTATGTTGCATACTACAAGCCAAAAGAAATGGCAGTGGTGGATTGTATCATGTCATGAAAGCATCTTCATTGTTTCAAGCATTTCTTTCAAATTCCACAGCAGAATAGGCAGCCACAGCGAAAAACTCCTCTTAAATTGGTGTCCCGATACGCACGTGTTGCACAGCCAGTTACATGGGCAGGGACAGCAGTTGGCTTTCAGGGATCAATTCTCCTTGGATGCACAGCATGCTGGTGAATGTCAAAAGCAATTACTCAATCGTTTCTGAAGGTGCTACATAAATGTGTGCATGTGCTGTAGATTAGCTGAAAAGTTTCACTGTTAGAGCAGAACATTTGTAACCAGGATACATCAGGAAAAATAATATCCTGATAACAATTGCCTACAGTGTATCATGCTCTTCCCACTCACTAGAAATAGATGTCTTTAAAATACTTTACCCTTGTGAAGGGTGAAGGCTCTAAATATTTAATAAAATGCTAGAGATTCTATTCTGCAACATTATTTATGCCCCTGAATCCACCTTTCTTCCAAATGAAGTATCTCAGTTTCCTGCATTTCATCTTCCAGGGAGAATTAAGCTTTAAAACAGCCAGGTTACAAAGTGAAGGGTGAAAAATCCCTTCTTTCTTCAGCACTTGGGTGGAGCTCCACTGCCTTATTCTGGATCTGGCTGTAAGCCTGTGTGCTTGCTCTTGGTATGGTCGGTTGTCTTCCTCTTCTCTGTTTAGAAAAGATGATTGTGATAGGAGGCAGCAGTGGGGCTGCTTTCCTTACACCAGCATCCCTGAGCATGCACATACAAATCGGGTTCGAACACCTCATGTGGAGAGTCTGCAGAGCAGCACTAATGTCCTGCCTGTGAGATGCTCAAGAGAACAGGAATGAGGATGGAAAAAAGATGCACTGACTCTTATGCCAGTGCTTCTGCTGTGAAAGAGTCCTGAAATCCATGGCTGGTCTCACATAGTTCATGTGTAGCCATAAATCTACATATATTTCCATATATAAATACATGCACACAAAATATATTCGGTACATTAAACCAAAGTGCCAATCTGATCATGCTAAGTGTAAGGAGAGAGAAAACCACGCTAAGTCATTTTCTAAAAGCTATTAATTAAGGGCTACATTATTTGAATGGTTAACAACATTCTCTGCCTTCTTCTCATAGCATTGCAGAGATTTCTTGTGACCTTCTAGGTGTGAGAGTCTTGCAGCATGTTTGGACTGCCCAGAGCTCCCTTAACTCTTGAATAGCTGGGGAACCAGCTTTGCAGGACAGACTGTAAGCAGCCCCACTGCAGGTATCAGTTCCATGTGTGTCCACACTCAGGGCACAGCTCCTCTGAGATCTCACCTTGCAGTTTATTTTTATGACCTGTGAGCTGTGGTCTCTTGGGTCTAAACTGCTTAATGCTACAGAGTCCTTATCAAGCAGCACCTGAGAATGAGCTCTTCTAACAGTCAGAAAGACTAGGGCACATTCAAAAATTACAGGACAAGGACATGGCCAAAGGCACCATGCAATTGTCTGCACAAGGTGTAGTGCTCCAATCAGGGAGAAAGGGTTCTTACTGATCCTTTTTAATTTGCTTCAGGTAATGTTGAAGGGATGTATGTGCATGAGTGTGTCTGGACTTTTTCTGCGTGCACTACCTGGGCATTTACATTTCCATTTACCTATTTGTGAAGATCTGGGAGCTGAGGGAGCAGGGTAATTCTGTGGTGAGTGACTAATTATATGAGTGTGAACCAGGGTAAAATTCCCTTTCAAAATAAATGGATTTGTATTAATGCAGGAGCAGTAAATGAGGACAGGACCTCTCAAGCCTTGTTGCAGGAGGTCAAATTCTCTTCTGTATATTCTGGAGCGCCGTGGATATAAATGGGCATTTCCCAGGCTTTGATACTAAGGCAATTTGAAAGGGAAGGTTTAACACACCCCCCTTGGTCTGTGGCATGTGAAACAAAGCAAACCCAAGCACTCCTACCAGGTAAAGTGGAGAGGGACTTACTGTTTCCAGTCTGGTCTTGGGATTCAGTCAAATGCAAAATGCTGAGTTTGCCCCACTTCAGTCACAAAAAAGCTTATCTTAGCATGTCATCATTGCCTGCTCTGTTTCCTCATTAAAATATTACAGTTGTAATTTAAAGAAGAAAACAAGCTGAAAAATTACAAACCCGAAGCAGCAGCACCCCTCCCCCTCCTTTACTCCCCACCTTCTGCAGTAAAGACTTAGGAGCAGGATGTGATGGAAATGCCCTGAAGACCTTTCCTTCTGACTATAAATGCAGTTTATCCAAATTAGCCGGTAACCTTTTCTTCTTCTCTGACCTTTCTCCTCCCTGCTGCCTCTCTCTCACCTCTCTCTGATGAGTCCCACCTCTCTCAAGAGTTCATTATTTTCAACAGCCTTTGCTGATGCAAGCCAGTGAAGGTCAGTTAAAGAAAAGCTTGAACATCTTCAAGCAGGGGAGATATTTCCCAGAGAGGCACCAGTGAACAGAGCATTTAAATTGGACTGGCGCAAGAATTCAACAGGAGCAAAGATTTCAGATTATGGCACGGATTTTAAGAAACAGCCACACCTCTTCAATTTGATAGTCCGTATTACAGCTCTGAAGAGATTTCCTTTTGAAGCTAGACCTCTGAGAAAAATAAGCTATTGGCAGTGGGGGGATAGGAAGCAGTAAACAGCTCTGGGGATTGGGAAGGATGGTGCCATTTAAGAGAAGAGAAGGTAGGAAAAGAAGAGTTCTATTCCACTTTGCAAGTGATTTGTAACATGTTCTGTTAATCCAGGCTACAATTCTCCCTCTGTAATGGAAGTCCTCAGGGGACATTCAGGCTTGTGTTAATTGCCTTGGTTCTTGGCCAAGTTTGTCATGGTTCAGAGAAGATATGTTAGTAGTAATTCGTGGGGGCCCACATCTCCCTGTGGACGTGACCCATCTGCAACACTTCCAGAGGGCTTCTGCACGTTAATAGTCTTTGAATAGGCTGGAGGTCAAGACCAGTGCTCAGAGAAAAAACCTTCCTAATCCACACGTCCCTCCACTCAAGTGATGCAAGTCCGCATGCCCAAAGGCGCTCGGTGGGCCTGAGAGGCAGGGAGAGAGAGGACGGGGGGCTGGGCATCTCAGGTGACAGGCAAACATGCTTCCACTCTCCTTCCATGGGCAGCAGGGACACGAGCTGCTGAGACACTTAGGCAACAGCATGTCCTTCATTTTGTTATTTGAATGGTAGTATTCCTCACCCCAGTTAATGTGGAACTAGATGAGTCGGAGAGGATGGAAAATGCTAAAAGGGGCAGCTCATTATAGGTCACCTGATTTCTTTATAATGTTGTTTTTTTAGAAATTGCCTGTCCAGATGATGAATTCAACTAGATATTTATTGCTGACTTTAATAAGGCATCTAGACCTAGAAAGGTAATCTTACTTATTACAGCATGTCATGTTACAACTTATCATCATAACACTGTAACAAAATGTCAATGCTGACGGAATTTTAAGAGCAGCTTTTTTATGGATGGAGTGGGTCCTTCCCTTGGAATTGGAATGTTGCCACCAAAAAAACGGGACAGTAGCAGTTTCTGTACTGCAAGGTCAAAAGTCTCATCAGTGGCTTCTACAGAACCCACTTTCCTTCTTTTATCCCAACTACACACGTTTCCAAAAGAGGTAACATGGCAGAGGTTCCTCATGTTGAATTTACCCTGCAAGCACATGTGTGCTTGAAAACTCAGTGCAAACAGAAAGGGCTGCTGGGCAACACACTTGCTGTGCTCAGTTTAACTTCTGCTTGATCTGGGGTTTAAAATCCTTTGGTACTAAGACTTCAGTACAAACCGGCAGAAGGAGCTTGCCACTCTGCTGAAAACACAACGACACATCTGGGACAGGCTCATGAAACACACAGCTGGGGAATAACAAGTATTTTTGCAGGATTCACTCAGTGGTTGGTATTTCTAGTTGTTATCTAAAACACTCTCACACATTATTCACTTCTTTTCTCCAGTGGTTTCTGAGCTTTTATGATGGTATATTTGGTAGGTGAGGACAAAACCTGTTGTTAGATCAGCCCTGAAATTCTTTCATTAAAATTACATATGTCACTAGAACAATTTACAACAATTTAAAAAGATGATCCAAATCAAACAATGTTAAGTCGTGTTGGTATCCACCTCAGAAATGTGGGGGAGAAAAATCTTTACTGGAGAGGAAACCAGAAAAAAGACTAAAAGTTATATGACCAGGAACAGGGTTGTGAGCATTAAAGAGCCAAATGCCAGGGCCCTGGACTGATGCAGCTTTCCCTGTTGTTCCCACGTAAAAGTGCAAACAAGACAAAGCAAGAAATCTCCCAGAAAACTGCCGAGGTTTTGGGGAGCAGACACTGGTGTGAAGCAGTGGCAGCCTGGGTGCTTTAGCTGAGCTGTGGCCTCTGCCTGTGACAGATGATTCCTGTGCTCTGCACCTTTCCTACAGGAAAAGGATGGCAAGGATGGGAACCGTGTGGTGATGGCACCGGCTCAATCAGCAAGCCCTCACTTCTTAGGCGGCACAATGGGCATGGGGAGCTTTGCTCTGTATCTATTACAGCTGCTCCTCATGGCATCAAGCTCTGCTCTGGATTCCTGCACGTGTTTACCCTTCAGTGTACAGAGAAACTGAAAGCCTGGTAAAATGGTATTTCCAGCCTTTGCACAGAGCCTCAATCCCATGAAACATCTGCAATGCAGTTAGGATCTTTTCTTTCAGGCAGTGCTAAGAGGGAATGCAAAATCATCCCTGTCATTGTGGTGAGGAATAGAAGTGTTTTACAAACAATATTATGGCTCTCTAGCTCCTGCAGACAACAACACTATCCCCGCACTGGTGACCAAGAATTCTACCTATTTACATGAACTGAGAATAAGGCATGAGATTTTAAAGTGTGGCAGAAAGCAATTCAGTTCTCAGAGTGTAACCTTTCCACAAATACTTAGAGACTCTTCCTTGTTATTATTTATACCATGGAAGCTGTGATCACATAGGTCAAAAAAACTAAGCCATCTAAAATTGTACAGAAGGGGAATGGTGCTGCTTTACAAGTATGTGAGTTTTTAGAGGGCTTTCTTTACCCTTGGAGATAGAAAATATGTCAGTGCTGAAAGAAAGTTAATCTGCAATAGCAGGATGGATTGTTCACTGTATATGTTTGGGCATCCATAGACATTTATGCCAGCTGCAAAACTGAATGGGTACAACTGAAATGACTGTTCTTCAGTTTTAAGAGTAAATGACTTTTGAATCAAGCAATGCTGTTTTGTTTGTCCTTCCCTGCCAATACAAGATTGTTTTTTGCACTATATGCTTTTTCATAACTGCTTGTCTCTATTTAGCTTAAATGCCTCAATTGACAACCTCCCTTTCCAGAAAATGTTTAGCTTCCAGTTTTATGAGGGTCTTTTTTTTGGTGGAATTTTCAAATCAGCATTGCTTTAACTTTGCTCTCTGTAATGGCTACAGAACCCATTACATTTACAAGAAGCACTGGTCCTTGTAAATGCTGATCTTTATCCTTCACTGTTCAAAACTCCTTCAGTTATGAAGACTAGATCTTTTTTCCTGTTTGAAATGTTACCAGCAGTAGCCTGCAAAGTGGTTTCCTTTGCTCTCTGTGGACTTACACCCTGCAGCATTGCTGATTTCTTTTAAAGAGTTTTTGGTAAGACTTGTTTCACACTCTATTTTTGAAAAGGTTCTGAAGAAAAGGAAAAAGACAAACAACTGTGCAGTAGGGAGAAAGTTACAGTAGTGTCATAATAGGATCAAAGTTGCTTCTCACCTTACGTGTTAATCTTCTCTTAATCTCTCGTTTTTCCTCCTGCTCCTCTTGCTCATTCCGGGCTGTAAAAGATTTACAAGGATCTCAGACTGTGGACTTATCAGGCATGCACCAATTGCAACAAAATAAGCCTTTCCATCAGTAAGTGTATGAATGTTTCAGGACCTCTCTGATGCACAGTATGTCCCTCTGGGGCTGGTGAACGTCCCCGACCCGTAGCTACTGCGCTTCTTCACACGCTTCATAAAACATCTACAGCTTCCTTCCTTTCCCTGTGTTGGCACCTCTTCATGTGTGTCACTTTCCAGAAGGGCTGGGCAGCAAGCCAGCTCTTCAAAAAATGTTATCTCCCTGCCCACAGGCCTGGTGGCCTCAGGGGGCTCAGCTACGATATGGCCGGATTCTGCAAGGTCAGTGGTTGGAAAAGAAACACATGCAGTTTTTTTCCATCTGCAGAATAATTTATTGCAGCTACTTTTTGGAGATAATAGAAAAAACCCTTTGGAATAGAGGTGCCATGCAAATCATGCAACTTCCCATGGCATGCAGAGTTAAGGAGGGTGTGTTCCATCATGAGCCTTCAAAGTATCACACTGGAGCATAAAAGCTCATCCTAGGTCAATTAACTTTCAACATTAAGCCAAAAGATCATGTGCTACAAGTTCTTACCAGGGCATGCCTCAACTCTTCTCCCTCAAGAGCTCAATCACATTTGAGTACACTAACTCTTCTTCAGCTTAGGACCAGGCTGTCATGCATTGTCTTTGTATTGACCTTTACCAAAAGTAACTAAAATCTCAGGCTTCCAAGTATTCAGCTTCTCAATCAGTTAGGATCTGTCTCCACTGCTTCACTGATGGCTGAAATGCTCTTTATTCCAATCATGCCAGCACATAACAGGTTAGAGCAAACACAACTCATCACCTTTTTTAGTAAGTACTCTGCGCCCCTGCTGGGATCCAGTTTTTGTTCAGCTAGGACTAGCTGAGGCAGGAATAACTCTCTGCAGGGGACATTTTGGACCTCAAAGGCCAACTGAGGATAGGTGCCTTGATTTAAATCGTTAAACTTTGGACTGCACTAATCTCAAGGGGGCATCCCGCGTTCCTCTCTGCTGATCCTGCAGATGGAGCAGGCACCTCCTGCAGAGCAGCACTAACAACCCACCAGCCGTAGCTTCTTCAGCTGTGAGAGCACAAGCCAGCACTCTCACTAGAAAAGTGGGGCTTTCCCCACACAGCAATGAGACCTAAGGTTTAGAGCCCACAGACGCCTCTGAGCAGGTGAGGAGGGCTAGGCTGGAATCCAGGTTTCTCACTGCTCAGGACAGACAGTGCTATCACAACTGCTCACTGACTTCAGCAGGACTGGGAAATCTCCACTGAAGTGGACAAAGAACCTGTCGATGTTATGATGTTTCACACTACACTTCTGATCTTTAAGTGCCATTTTACCAAGAATACTTCTTATATTTTCAGAAGGAAGGAAACCAGCAGGGGACTAAAAAGACCACAAGACAGCAGGGAGTCACAACTGTCTTTTTAAGCAATCACTGGAGTACCTACACTGATAAATGTAGTTTTCCTCTTTCAATGGTGCCTGTCCCTACTGGGGTGGATACTCTTCTAGCAATTGATCCCCTAGCAATTTTCTTCTTCTCTTTGTGTCTCAAATTTGGAGGAGTTGGTCCTGAAAATGCTTGCTTTCAGATACAGCACTAACTAAACAGAATCACACAGAGTCAGGGTAGAACTGCAAGCAGCCAAGGAGTTATGTATAAAACTTAGTAATGGCTATTCATTTTTGTCCTTGGCATCTGATGTTTTTCTCCTCCCCTCACTCTCAGCCCAGCCACCCACTTTCAGAGACAGCCAGGCAGGCTTAAGACTTCAGGCAGGTTAAAGCTGGAAAACAGGAATACATTCTCCTTCAAAACTAGAAAGTGACTTTGTTTTAGCCTATTTCTTTGAAGTTAAGTCATGCCAATCTTGTGAAGCTACAGAACTGATGCTTTATTTTATCTTATGTGCTCAGGAGATTCTCTGTTTCTCTAAACCTGTGTGTCAGGGTGATGTAGGTGCAATTTTCACACCTGATTTCTGTGCCAGTGTGAAATGTCCTCCAGTACAGTTTGAGGCATTCAGAACCCACCTAACCATATTTTTTGTGAGGAATTTATACAACCCTGAATGTGCCAGGTTGACAACTGATCACTTGTACCCACCTGTGAAGTGGCACAGGGGTGGTGTGTGACAGGGGATCGAGGAATCTTTCCCTATATACTTGGACAGCAAGTATAGCTGCAAAGTGTTCTTTAGTCTTCAAATTAACCCTGCAGGCCTGAACTCTTCCAACTACATGCCCTTGATGTAAAAATGAGTCAGTGAATGGGGTACACTTCAGTGAAGGAGACCCTACAAGAACCAGGTGTCTCTGCTGTCTCCTTGCTGTGGCTGCTGTGATTTCACTGTTGCCATCAGCAAGTCGCAGAACTTGGCAATGGATGCTTTGCCCTTGTAAAGATAACTCATAATTATTGCAGTAGCACAGACCTAGGAAGCACTCAATTCATGTATAAAGACTGGCTGTCCAACCACATTTTGCCTCATTTTTTCCCATCAGCATGGGCAATAGTGCAGTTACACGTGTAACAGGAACATCATGGTACCAGACACTTTCATCAGGGAGATTTCACCTCTAACTGCAGAGAAAATCCTGTTTAGTCTGCTTGAGAGTGTGGTAGGTTTTCTTTTGTGTTTGTGCCTGCTCTGGGCTGGGCTTTTGCAAATTGCTTGACCTGCTCATGCAGAGAATTTATAGTCTTTTTATTAGCACTTCCTGAGTCTCTCTCTACACTCCATTATATTTATTATAATGCTGCTTCTCAGAATTCTAGAGAAATGACACAAAATGATGTACAAATCAGAAGATATTTATATTTACTTGTTTAAGTGTAGAGTATGTTTATGTTTTCTTTTTTAAATTATGGAACAAATTTAATTTTTTTCTTTCCTGCTGTGGTTCACCAAAAGTTGGAATGCCTTGGAAATACCACATTACTCTTTCCTGTAATTATGAAGCTGTTCATTTACCAAGACACACATGTTTGGGGCAGATTTGTGCTAAAGCAAGCTAAAAAAAAACCATTTAGGAAATACAATGTGGTTCTGGAATCAGGGTAATATTTTCAAACATCCATGTCATTTAAGAGCCTTTATTCAATTAAAAAAGAAACTGATGTTACTCAAGGGGTAACTCCTCTGAAATGTAAGACACCTTTAGGACGCTCTGTGACTGCTGTGCTCGGCAATGTGACCTTTAGGAATGTCTGCAAGGCACCCAGCGTTGGAGATGCTGCTCTCTGCTGATGCTGGTTCAAAGCAGGTGCCCAAGACGCCAGGGCAGTGTTTGCTGGTCATGCACCAGTGCCAGGGGGTGCCTGATGTGTGTTTGTTCAGAGGTCCCAGGACGACAACGTGAGCTGCCAGAAAACTGGCCTTGCCGCTCTGTGCCTGAGCCTGACATCAGTCACGTCCCAGGTCCCCCCTGCTCCAGCTGTTCTGCTACGCCCCTGTGAGACAATCACAGCTGGATGTGCCAAATATTTCCCCAGGTTCTGCCCCTGACTTCCTTCAGCAGCCAGTCACTGGAGTTAGGAGCAGTAGCAGCACAGCTATTAAGAGAGGGCTGGTCCCAAACAAATGGCTGTTCCAGCAGCCTCAGGCTTGCCCACGCCGCTCTGCTGTCCGGTCTGTTCTCTTTGCATTCACAGTGCATTCCTCTTTGCATCTCTGTCCCTCTCTGACTGCCACATGTAATAACATCAACAGATGAAAAGACCCTGCTGGGCCCTAACACTATCATTAATCTGCTAATATTTGATTTCGAAGTATTTAAAAAATGAATTCTGCTGATTTTCAGTGAATTAATCTTCTGCTACTACGTTTTTATGATTCTATACAATGCAACTATTCCAACAAGAGAAGGTGAATTATGGACCTACCTAAGGAGACATTATGTATAAAGTACCATTTTGGAATACTTTTTTTCTGTAGTAATTTTTAAAAATTTTCCTGGAAATATGCATTTACTAACTTAAAAGTGGAAGAACTTGTTGTTTTTTTTTTTTCCCTGTTTCCAAAGTAACAACAACTAGATAAACAGCTTTTTTTTTTTTTGTTTTAATATTCAAAACACTTCCATGCAAATAAAGAAACTGTAATTTTCTTCCTATTCATTCATGAGGTTATGAAAGTTGGACTCAGTCCAGTTTCCCTTGAAGTCAGTGGCAATGTATCTACTAACTTGGTTCAGGATTTCTGAGTGGTATTTTGTCCCTTTAAAATAACACAGGCTGAGGATCTACCAGCAAATTTTTGGCTGATTTAAAGGGAGAATTTCAGGGGAATAGCCCTGAGTCACACTGGATTCTTTTTTAAATTGAATAAAGGCTCCAGCTAGCATAGATTGCTGTGAAGATTTTTAGGAAAGCTAATTGAGCTATGCCCTAATGTCTTTACTTACAATGGGATGCTCATCTATATAAGTGTTGCACAAAGGAGGCTTTTCAGGATGTCTGACCCCCTGTCTGGAATGTCATTCAAGACCTGGGATTTTTTTCCCCCCCTTAGGTTTATTCTTGTAAATTTACTGACTCTGATTTGAAAGAACTATTTCTGCAGATCTAGATGTTGTTGCAGACTTCCGCGTTTATTTGCACTTACGATGCCCTTTATTATTTTTAATTATTATCAGCGATGTTTACAGAGAATAGTTCACATTTATAAAAACCACCAAATGTATACAAAATCTAACCCAAATTGTCTGGCTTCAGGTTAAATGTCAGCAGAATCAGGACTTACGTTTCAGTATGTTCCTCTGCTCCAATTCTTCAGCAGTTGGCCTCTGGCTCAGTCGTCTGCGAAAAAAGTCCAAGATCAGTTTTTGGACCATATCATATTCTCCTCAGTTCTCTGCCTTGAAGAGTCACTTTGGGGTGTGAAAGGCAGAACAGAAAGCACTGACACTGGTCCATTATGTACTTGGTATGCCTGGACCATGCGTGACACACACCATGCTTCGCTTTCGCAGTTTCCTCTGTTTCCAACCCACGAAAGACAAAATATGTTATGTCATCTTAGGCATGACTCTCCCACCCTTACCCCAGGCAGAGCTGCTGAAAGCTAAGCCACACAGATGTCTCCACTTAATTTCCTTCCCTCCATGCCTTCTTCCTGACTTGCACAAGTATTTCTAGCTAGGATCCAGCTAACCCTCTCGCTGCCCTCTCGCCAGCCTCCTGACTGCGCCCAGTTGGTTCACACAGTGTTTGAACACACAGACACAGAAAAAACAAGGGACTGTTTGGCAGCGCTGAGGGCAGAACAATAGCAACCCTCCTCCTCCTCTTGTGGCTTTTATTAAATCCTGCACTGAAGGATCAGTGTCACTTGCTAGTCGATCTGTCTGTAATAGGGTCAACAAACCCCACAATCTCATTACAAATGGGGGCTCTGTACATAGGAATGACCTGAATATTCAGAATACAGAGCAAGCACAAAAGGGTATTTGCAAAACAAAGTGAACCAGAGAGATGACATCAGAATTCAGCACTGTTGGGCATCCTCATACTTTTATCCAAGTCAATGGGCGTTTTGTCAATGATACCAATGACACACCAGAGCCTTCTCTTCCTTCAGACTTGGTCACTCAGAGATGTTTCCAACTTGGGGGCCACAATCTCTGTCAACTGGACCAGCTTCCCTGTGAGTTACTGGTGAATGGGCACTGATAGGAAATGATAAGAATGCTGCACGGCTTCATCTTCTGCAATGAATGTTCCCCTGACCCTGGGCACAGCAGCTCTCTGAAATGGAGTGGCTCTGCAAGGCTGGATGAGAGATGTCTGACAATGGCTCCTCACCACACAGGGGCTAAGCTGCTGGTGCACATGCATCCCCAGCTTTCTCCAGGGCCAGGAGCTCGTGCGTGTGCCAGTTCAAGACCACTGCCCCTCACATTGTGTGCAGAGCACAGGGCTGAACAAGCACTAGGTAGGAGCCCACCTCTCATACCAGCTGTTTGAAGGCAGAAGATTTACAGGCACCTGATTTTACAGTCTGAAGATTTCCACCAGCAGAGGTGATACCAGCCATGTGTTCTCTGGGAGCACTTTACACCATGAAAACAAACCAGCAGAACACAGCCCTATTTCAGTGTAGAATTTGGTGTCAGGAGCTTTGTCCCTTTCTTATAGCAGATTGAACATTTATCTCATTAGCAAAGTGTTAAAAGGGACAGAAACTGATCCTTAATTTAGATGTTCAGAATGTCTGCAAAGTATTTTGAAGACAGAAAGTGCTATTCAAGTGCTTGCAATTTCCACCTTTAAGATACAGTAGCTGATGCTAATGGGAGACTTTGCCTTAGGACTGTGAAGCAATTAAAACTACTTAATTTCTAGCATCACACGAGAACCAAGAAAGAAGAAGTTGCCACTTTTAGCCCCACCCCATGTGTCTGCAGGAACTGTATTATAAATGTCTTTAATCCCCCATGTCATCATGCTTTTGAAAAGGATGCATCAGAGGGATGTTCAGGATGAACTCCAGCCACCAGCATGTGGATGGCTTCTACAGAAACAAACATCATATTAAAAGGAGAAAGAAAAAAACCCTCCCCAAAAGTCCTCCCGTTTCCAAGAAAACAGGGATTGAAGGACTCAGATAAGTGTTCTGTCACTAACAGTTTACACTAGGACATTTCCAACAGAAGACAGAAGTTTTAACTACCTACAGAAGTGATTTACAGCAAGGATCACAACTTCCATGTGTTTAGTGAGGTACCTGCCATGAAGTAGATGCATTTAAACTAAGCTTTCACTGCATGTTACCATGGCATTGCTTCCACACAAGAGGACAAAGATTTCCTCCTAGTATGCCCTTATCTGCATCCTCTACTCCTGTGCTGCCCAGGACCTATAAACCATGGGATTCCTCCCCACACTGACTGGTAGGGCTCCAAGTCAAAGCCAGCCGAGGATACCAGTGTTCTCCATCAAGAGTCAAATTACTTTGTGGATCCCATTATCCACCCTTTTCAGTCTGCACAGTGCTCCTGCCTACATGGTGACTGCCACTTTTAAGTGATGCACAGCAGAAAAAGCCATGCCACTTTGGATAGATTAATTCATGGATTAGCAATCACTTCTGGAGTTTAATAAACCCAAGTTTCTAATAATGTGACTTAGGCAGTAGGAAAAGCTAAGGTATTCTTGTAGAGGAACAAAATCTTAATTAGTCCTTACAGTGCAAGTAGTAAAGCAGCACTGGAGGATGAAGAAGGTCATGAATAGAAGCCATGGAGGTTCCTGGCCTCCAGTACCAGTGTCTGCTTTCATCTCCATGAACTGCTGTTATATTCCCATTTCTATTATCCTTTGGGACTGACCGAGCCTGCTCCTGCTCCTTCATTTTAAGTCCCTCCTTGATGAGCTCTTCAAATAAACACAGCCCCTTCTACAGCCCTTCCTTTCCAAGCTCTCTCAATTATCTCTTTTCATGGTCTCTTACTCATTTAATTACTTCTCATTCTGTTACAGTGACTTCTGCCCCCACACAACTGGGGCTTTACAAACACCTCCATCAGCACCTCAGAACAGCACCATTTTAGTTCTTGTTTCTTTCTGCCTAATTTCTAGGCTTGCCAGATGTTGAACAGCTGTTAACATCTCTGTTAATCTTTGAAAATCTTGATACTAGTTACAGATAATGTAAATCAAGAAACACTAGCAGCTCTTGCTTTATTACTATGGCTGCAAAGACAGGTTTTTTTCTTCCACACTTACTTTCAGTACAGTTCAGTATCTCTAGCATAGAGCTCTGACCTTGGCAAACATCAGTGGTGATAGCTCCCCTCTTCTGCCTTCCTTCCTGTCCTGCCCAGAATAAAAAGTTGTTAATGAAGCCCACCTAGCTCGCACAGGTTGATTTAAGTAGTTGGATTGCTGGCTTGCTGCTGTGCCTTATTTAATTTAACATCACAGGGGCTGCAGGAGGCAGTCAGGAGGCCACAGGTCAGGAAAAAGGTGTCTCATTAGCAGCACAATCAGAATAAATGGGAGAAAATGGAGGTGAGGAAGGAACCTGGTGCCACAGCAAAGAACGGATCTGCTTGTGTGAACTGCAAGGATGGAGGGAGATGTGTGGTGCTGCTGTTGATCAGAAAGGTAACTCTGGTTATTTCATCAAACTAAGTAAGTGCAGGTGTCTGACCAAGGAACAGGGGAGACAGACCTCAACAAGTAACCACCTCTAACAGCACTTTCTGTATTTAAAATGTTCATGTGTGAACATGCCTGAGCTTCACTGTGCCATCCATACAGTCTTGCAATATGCTTCAGGCATTCAAGAGGACAGGAAGGTTTTTTGTTATTTGTGCTTTACAATGTATTGCTTGGTTTATGCTTTGTAAATTTCTGCAATATTGATTACAACAGTTTTGCAAATATACTGTGATGAAGGTTTTACTACAAAGGAAACTTCTTAAGATTTATGGTGACATAAGAAAAGCCTTGCTGGGATTTCACTGAAAAAATAATATCCAAATGAGTTTGTCAGTAAAAACTGCTCACATTTACAAAGATAAACTTGACACCAAACCAATTTTCGAATTAATTCTCTGCATGATCAAATGCATCACGCTCCTTGTGCTAGACAATAGAGCTGAGCCGTTCTTTGTAAGGACAGTGTAGTGAGGCTTATTTTGTTGGGTGTTTTTATTTTTTTACTTGTTTGCTTGCTCTGAATTTGCTCTGGGCTGGGCTGGTCACATCATGGCAGATAAATAGGAGTTTGGGGCCAGAAGGGACAATCATGCAAAATCAGTTGCTGTAGATCTAAAATATTGGCTGGTGTGGGTGCAATCTCCTCAGGGACCAACAGGAAAGAAAGGCAGCATTTTCACTGAGGGATGCTACTGTTTGGACCCTCCCCAGCAAACTGAGAACTCAGAATGAAAAGTTTCTGCTCCACGTGTCAGTGTTCTGCAGGAGCAATAAAAGGAAAAACATCTCCTTGGGCATGACAGAATACTTAAATGAAGTACACAGTGATGCTTACCCTGCTCTGCAGTGTGGCCACTCCCCAAGGGCTCTCAGGCCAGCAGCTAACCCGTTGTGGGGCCTCGGCTCAGATTTTTGCAGCCCTTTTGTCTGGCAGCACCTTTGAAGTGAGATGTTCCTGGCTGCCTAGGCTGTCCCCTACCAGGAGCCATGGGTTTTCTCTCCTTGAGCTCTTGTTTTGCTGCGGATGAGTTCCAAGAAAAGCTGGTTCATGCCATCCAGCTTGCTGTTGTGTGAACAGGACGATGTGGGATATGTGTTTTCTGTGTACCAGGAATTCATCTTTGACTCTGTCCAGAGGACAAGAGAATTTAAGAGCCTAGTGTGGGGTCACATGCAAGTATAATGGCTGGATATAATACAGGGCTTGTTGGAAAATGATTCCCCACACACTTGCCAGGCTTATCAACTGTGTTTGCAGACAGGAAAGGCAGAACTTAGCAGCTCTCCAGTGCTTGGATGGTGACATCTGGTGTGTGTGACCCATGAACAGGACTGGTGGACACGAAAGGGCACACAGTAGGATGGTGAGATGTCCAGAATATCCCCAAGGCATCTCTGAGCCAAGTCGTGCTCACACAGTTGTTCCTCAGGACTTAAGTCACCCTGATGTAAAATAACTTCTGAACAGTGGGGCATAAATAACTTCTAACAGTGGGGCATAAGCTCTGGAGCAACTACTGAATTTATTCTGTATGTGCAAATATCCTTAATAAGCAGCAACTGGGCTCATACTACCCTAGACACTGCTGTAACAGAACAGTAAATCTGAGCTGGGCACATGAGAAGCCAGCTGC